ATCTTGGGCCTTGTGTGAGACTTTAAATCAATATCAAGATTATATTCCCTTTGGCCTTGTGTGAGACTTTAAAACAATATCAAGATTATATTATCTTGGGCCTTGTGTGAGACTTTAAATCAATATCAAGATTATATTCCCTTTGGCCTTGTGTGAGACTTTAAAACAATATCAATATTATATTATCTTGGGCCTTGTGTGAGACTTTAAATCAATATCAAGATTATATTCCCTTTGGCCTTGTGTGAGACTTTAAAACAATATCAAGATTATATTACCTTTGCAGCAAATTTAAAATCAGAGCTATGTTTAAACTTCCTTTCATTTATCTTGAATTATCAAGATGTGGAAAGGGGTTGAGATTTATAACCAAAACAACATGCAATATTTTGTATATTTCTAACAAATCATAAAAACAGCTGATTTTTCTTTACAGCTAAAAGACCTATACCTGTTTTAGTTGATATCTGTTAATAACGTTTCTTGCAGTATGCCATCACCCTTCAGTACAAACGAACCGAAGAGAAATTAAAGGTCCAAAAGGAAGACCCAATTTACTCTCAGGTCCGAAAGGAGGATCCATTTTACCGTCAGGTCCAGAAGGAAGATCCAATTTACTCTCAGGTCCAAAAGAAAGACCCATTTTACGGCCAGACCTGGAGAGAGGACCTGGTGTACCAGCAAAAAAGGAGGGCGGACCCGCTTTACCCTCAGATCTGGAGGAAGAAGCCACTATATCTCCAGACGAGAAAGGAGGACTCTCTTTACCACCAACCCCGGAGAGAGGACCCACTTTACCGTGAGACACGGAAGGAGGACCCATTTGACCATGAGACTCGGAAGGAACAGAGCTATGGTCTTCTAGAGAAGACTTATTCCTTCTTCAAAGCACCATTCAGTTTTTTCCAGAAAAATAATGACTTTGATAAGTCTGAAGTGGTCACTCCAGAGTACAGCAGCTTGAATGTCAATGAAGATATTGTATCCCACTCCCTGAGGTTGGTTTTAGAAGCCAGGGGACGTGTCCCTCTAACCAATGTACTCAACGTTTTTTACACCCGCACTCTGGACTCCAGAACTAACTGGATCAAAATTCACCTCCAGAAAACTCTTCGCGAATCCCACAAGTCTTATCCAGTCGAGGTAGGTAACCAAGACATTTTACTGGATCCTAATTCTTATCCAGTCGAGTTAGTTAATTTGGACCTTTTATACTATCGGAGATGAGTTCAAGCATTTTAAGATCTTTCCTTACGATTTTGAATGGTAGCAGATTTTTTCGTTTTTGTGAAAGTGTAAAATTTGGACCAAAACCAGAACCAATCTTCGTGTGTTAAAGATACGCTTTAGTGAGACTTTCACAGTAAAAACATTAAACAATAGATGAACAAGAGAGAGCACATTAAACAAGAGAAAACATATTACGTTGTAAACAAGAGATAACTACTTATAAATTGAAAACATATTACGTTGTAAAGAAGAGATAACTACTTATACTATAAATTGAAAACATATTACGTTGTAAACAAGAGATAACTACTTATACTATAAATTGAAAACATATTACGTTGTAAACAAGAGATAATTACTTAAACTATAAATTGAAAACATATTACGTTGTAAACAAGAGAACTACTTATACTATAAATTGAAACATATTACGTTGTAAACAAGAGATAACTACTTATACTATAAATTGAAAACATATTACGTTGTAAACAAGAAATAACTACTTATACCATAAATTGAAAACATATTACGTTGTAAACAAGAGATAACTACTTAAACTATAAATTGAAAACATATTACGTTGTAAACAAGAGATAACTACTTATACTATAAATTGAAAACATATTACGTTGTAAACAAGAGATAACTACTTATACTATAAATTGAAAACATATTACGTTGTAAACAAGAGATAACTACTTAAACTACAACTTAAAAACATATTACGTTGTAAACAAGAGATAACTACTTAAACTACAACTTAAAAACATAATGACGTTGTAAACAACCGACACTTTCTAATGGAGCAGAACGTTCATAACTACAAGATTATTACATTTCCAAATAGGTATGTCTCAACTCTGTGATTCAATTCCCTCCGAAACCATACGTGTTTTCTTTGGACAGGACTGCAACTAAGGATCAGAGAGTTTTCGTCGATGCCGACTTGAGGTGGGGCCCTCATTGTCTGACCGCAGGAAATAAAAATATTGTTATAAAAGTAAGTAGTATTAGAGATTCTAAGGCAACAATGTAAATGTTACATGGTGGTCCACTGCTAACTAAAGCCGTGTATATTGAAACTTGTGTGTTCTACTTCATATCAATATCTCTTTTGCAATTATACTTACTACTTACTCAGGTCTTATGTACATTTTAAAAATAACCGTTGTAATAATATAAAACCTTCCACTATTTACTACAGTCTTATGCTTATGTAGTGGACTTTACGTTATAGCAATTTCTTTTCTGAATAGGCCGTTTTGGAGAAAAGCGAGGAGCAAGTGAACGTGATTCGGCCGCGAATGGCCGTAAGATTGGACACTACACATTTCAGTGGACAGTGGTCACTACCGTGGTACTACAGGCAATGCCAGGTTGATAAGCAGATTGGCAAGTCACAGAGTTATGCCTGCAAACATGCCTTATTAGACGACAGCTATCTTGATAAGTTCACTGTGGAGGTCAGCTATGAACACGTAAGTATGAGATAGTACAATTATATATCAACAAATACGCGTTGCAATATGGTTGTGATGAGGGCTGTGGTAGAGTGTGGTTGTGATGGCTGCTGTGATAGAATGTGGTTGTGATGAGGGCTGCTGTGGTAGAATGTGGGGTGTGATGAGGGCTGCTGTTGTAGAATGTGGGTTGTGATGAGGGCTGCTGTGGTAGAGTGTGGTTGTGATGAGGGCTGCTGTGGTACAGTGTGGTTGTAATGAGGATTAAACTTTCAGTACGTTCACGCCAAGATGGATAAAACAATTTACTGTAATTTCAGGTTCCGCCATACCTGCTCAACGTAACCCGACACGTGGACTTGGCTCTCAAGACGTATCTGTATCCTCATCTCCAAAACAACCCTGTGGGAGTTCGTAATCCCGACAATAAGATCCGTATTGTTGGCCAGTTTGTCAAGGAACTTCCTGGGGTGCCGCTGCTTAACTTAGTTATTGAGAAACCCACAGAAAACACCGTCTTCAGGAAAATATATGTGCCTTATTTGAAACCCGTTTCAACACTGGAGCCTGTGGTGAAGAGCTACGTAGGCCTAAAAAGCTCTGAAATGGAGCGTAAGTATAACATTAGCTACAAAATTTGGTTAAAAGTTTAGGAGAAAATAATAATGGTGATAAAACCTTTCAAAATATAGAATACTTACTGACCGTCGTGAAAATTTAAATTATTATTAAATTGTGCGTTACTCTTTCACAATTTAAATAATTGATACATTTTACGTAACTTGTTAGTCGATTTATTCTACAGTGTAGAAATACTGTAGATCAGCGGTCAGTTTACGGAATTACAACGTTAAAATCCGAGATTCGATTCCCTGGTGGACACAGCGTAGCTGTCCCGTTGTGTAATTTTGAGCTAAAGCAAAAAACAAAACAAAAATAACAAACAGACAATTACTTTACTCGTTTACCGTGTGTTTTGTTTTACATAACATTAGTTTGCTACTTAATTCATAGGTGTCACCAGCGTTCTTGGAATTTTACAATCTTTTGTTTTCCACAGCTGTGTGTTCCTTGATGGAGAAGTACATCAAAACCCTAGACAACGTGACGTTCCCTCTGCCGGAGACCACCTGTCAGTACGTCCTCTCGAAAGACTGCTCCCATGAAGAGAGGTACACTGTTGTTTTGAAACCAACCAGGCGTGCCAGGGTATGTTGGTTTCGAATATTGTTTAGAATATATAGCGTTATGGAAGAACTTGTAGAGTGAGTTCGACTTCCTACTGCAGGGCATTTAAGATTTCCCGCCTATTTACTGCAATATAACTAAATATACACAGTTAAATGTAAGCCTTACTAGAACTATATTAGAACAAATGTACTAAATGTTTCTACATGTCATTGGTATACAGTATTAGGAGTTAAATAGGTTCATTCTATACGTGTTACGTAAGCGTTAGATAGGCTCATTCTATACGTGTTATGTAGGAGTTAAATAGGCTCATTCTATACGTGTTACGTAAAAGTTAAATAGGCTCATTCTATACGTGTTATGTAGGAGTTAAATAGGTTCATTCTATACGTGTTATGTAGGAGTTAAATAGGCTCATTCTATACGTGTTATGTAGGAGTTAAATAGGTTCATTCTATACGTTTTATGTAGGAGTTAAATAGGCTCATTCTATACGTGTTATGTAGGAGTTAAATAGGTTCATTCTGTACGTATTATGTAGGAGTTAAATGGGTTCATTCTATACGTGTTATGTAGGAGTTAAATAGGTTCATTCTATACGTGTTATGTAGGAGTTAAATGGGTTAATTCTATACGCATTTATGTAGCATTTAAACAGATTCAGAGTATACGTGTTATGTAGGAGTTAAACAGATTCAGTCTTTATTCACAGTCTTTACTAGTGTTCATCCTTGGTCGACAAATAAACCTGCTTCCTTCACTAAAACAACATTCTCCCATTGAGCTTGTGATTGACGGTCAAACACGATCTTTGACCCTTGGTCAGCCGGTCAAGACAGGATCTGAAGAATCCCCTGTGTACATCTACTTGGAAGAAACTGTATCTCGTCCCATTGTGGTTCTCCAAGCGGAACAAGAAGGCCTGGTCATCGAATATGACGGTGTTAATGCAAGAGTTAAGGTTAGTTTTTACAGAAATAAAAACGTCAGAACAACAAAGGAAACGTTTAGCATAGGAAATAAATATAGAAGTAGTTATAAGGATAGGCTTAATTGTTACTATTGTAATGCTAGAAGTATAAGAAATAAAATAGATGACTTTAGAAAACTGGTAGGAATGGAGGATTTTGATATAATGGGAATAACTGAAACGTGGGTTACAGGTTATTATAATAGGGATAGCATATTAAAGAGGGGGAGAGTAGCTTTATATGTAAAATGTGAGTTACATCCAGTTGAAATTGGGAATATCAAAAATAATAGCAACGAGATTGAATCCATTTGGGTTTCTAGTAGCGGATATAAAGGGAAAAGGCTTTTAGTGGGAATTTGTTACAGACCAACAAATGAAACTAATGAAATTAGTAAGAAACTTTAAAATGTGATTACGATTTCAGTTGTTAATGAAATCATAATTATGGGTGATTTTAATTTCAGGCATATAGATTGGGAAATTATAGAGTTAAACCATT